TCTGAATGTTACAAATGTTTATCAGGTAATTCTGTTTCTTGAAGGACTTGTCCAATTTTTTATATGGTTTCACGATCATAAAATTCTAAGTGAATTTGAACGATCCAAAATGACCATCAATTGATGATTCAATTAGGGGTTTTGGGGTTCAGTTGGTTGATAATGAGGCTGTCTATCCTCTGATTTCTGGCAAATCTTAGACAGAGTTTTGTATCTGAAACTTTTGTACAATTGCTAAAGCCACTGTTCATATTGATGTCCACTTTGTAGTGATCTTGTCAAATCTTCTTTATTTTGATTCTTTGTTATTGGTGGTAATCATCAGTTGTGCTTGATTAATGAATGTTAAGGAGTCTTGAATTAGCCAACAGTTTTGCTTGATTATAATTGAAATTTCATAAATGAAAAGCCAAGTTTTTTTAAATTGGAATGTCACTGAATCACCATTTGATGAGTCCGTGTTGGTCTTTACAAGAAGAACTAAGGACTCAAAAAATGTGAATTCAAGCACTTGATTTTACCTAACAATAGTTACAAAGGAGGGCAGAGGTAGCAGTGGAACTAAATGTATTAATCCCAATCTTTCACTCTCTTAGTGAGTACTTTTACAATGTATTACACAATTTTTTTTTCATTATCATCAACTGAATCATATAATTTGGAGGAATTGCATGATTAACCCTTTGTACACGACATTGACAATGTCAATCATATTTGTCAATTATACACAATCTCTAATCTTAAATCCAGTTCCAACATATAATAGCACATAAAAGTCAAATCAGGATTTCCAATGAAACCATTCCACCATGACAAACAATTTTGACAGAACACCCCCAATTCAATATATTGGTCAGCTATTTACCAAATGCTAAGAACAATTAAATCCAATTCCACCAAAATCAGTCAATAATGAAAAAAGAGGTATCAAAATAAAACATAGTTAGCCAATCTATCAGCACAACATAGTTAGCCAAAAAATTAATCTCATACATCATAACTCAATTTCCAAAATAAAACAAAACAAATAAAAATCTGTTTTCTTTGTCTTCCATTTGACTTTGAAGTTGCACTAAAAATTGTTGTATTTTCCTCTGCATTGACTTTTGCCTACACAAACCAAACTAATAGATCTTAAAACTATATATAAATGGATCCAAAAGCTATTGAAAAATTAAGAAAACTAATAGAAGTTAAAATGGTATATAAGAAGATCATAACTCACTTATTGGTCTGGACACTTTGAACCACTCTTGCCAGCATCCCCATCCTTTCCTGAATTTAGGCTTCCCTATATATAGCAAAAATTCGAAAAAAAATAAAAGCGCATGGAGATGTGAATTAGATGGAAATTAACAAATGAATATCGTACCGGCTATTGTATGATTGGGAAAAACAATCTCAATTGCCTTTTGCATTGCCTTGTCTTGGTCCGTAATTATTGCATTTGGAGTATGACCAGACATGCAAGCAACCCAAGATTGAAATAATCAAGTAAACGTCTCTACATTTTCGCTTGATACCAATCCACATCATAATAAAGTCGATTGACCATGGTGATTGACCCCGACAAAAGAAGCAAATGACATGTCATACTTATTCGTTAAATATGTGGTGTCAAATGTAATGACATCACCAAACTCCTCATATGCTGCTCTACTCCTAGCATGTGCCCAAAATACATTTCTTAAATGACCCTCATCATCCAAATCCATCATGTAGAAAAAGTTTGAATTATCACCTTGCATTTTCAAGAAATAGTTGTGAATCGCAGCAGCATTTCCTTCCCCAAGTCNATATGAGGAAAGATTCAATTAAGTGAAAATAAAATTTTAGCGTTAAATTTTTTATTCAAAATTTATGTAGGTCAACACAAATATAAACACGAATACGACACGAAAATAAACAGGTCAACTCGATACGACACGAATAATTAAATAGATTGGGTATGAGTTGACTAATGTTCGACACGACACGAACCCGACACAATACGACTTGATTGCCACCTCTAAACATTTCGATATTGAATAAATTTTAGAGTAATATTAGGCCGACCAAAAATAGAGACCAAATGACATGGCAGCCTAGTCAGCATTTCAAATAAGCTACCATGTAATTTAATAAAAAGATTAATATTTTATTAATATTTTGGTTAAAAACTTTTCAACTTCTCCACTTCCACCGTCAATACCCACCTGCCCCTTTCTCTCTCTCTCTCTTTCTTTTGCTTTCGTCCTCTAGTATCTGCCCTCCCCTTTCTTTCTTCTCTGCCAAAGCAGAAAACTACCCAGGAGTAATGCTACGCTGAATCACGTATTCCCAAGATGTTCAAATGTGAAGTTGTTTGATGGGTATGATAATTTAGTCACTGGGTTCAACTCTTTCCTATCGGCTAAGAAGAAGCCTATCGCCGCTTTGTCAGAGGCATACAATAGCACAGTGGAATATCAAACTCCGACTTCATCGTGGACGACACAGATTGAGTTTGTAAAAAAGGTTCAAAAGCATTTCGGAGACAATGTTCTGAGAAATAAATCGTTTCTTGATGCTTTGGGTGTGTGGCGATTTGGGGACAAGGTCATTGATCGGCTCGATCAAGAGGTTGCTGGTGTGTTTAAAGAGCTCCCAGATATATACATGGAGTTTAAGGGGTTTTATGGTGATTTTTCAGAGGAGAAATCGACTGATAGGGAGCGAATTGACAAGAATTAAAGACTCAGAGAAACGAAAAATTATATGTTCAACAAGAGGCTAAAACAAACCTTTGACTTGTGAACCAAACTCTCTAATTTGTCTCAATTATTACAACAAAGCATCTGCTACCACAAGCAAAAAAATTGGACTTTATCCATATCGATTATTTCTGAATGTTACAAATGTTTATCAGGTAATTCTGTTTCTTGAAGGACTTGTCCAATTTTTTATATGGTTTCACGATCATAAAATTCTAAGTGAATTTGAACGATCCAAAATGACCATCAATTGATGATTCAATTAGGGGTTTTGGGGTTCAGTTGGTTGATAATGAGGCTGTCTATCCTCTGATTTCTGGCAAATCTTAGACAGAGTTTTGTATCTGAAACTTTTGTACAATTGCTAAAGCCACTGTTCATATTGATGTCCACTTTGTAGTGATCTTGTCAAATCTTCTTTATTTTGATTCTTTGTTATTGGTGGTAATCATCAGTTGTGCTTGATTAATGAATGTTAAGGAGTCTTGAATTAGCCAACAGTTTTGCTTGATTATAATTGAAATTTCATAAATGAAAAGCCAAGTTTTTTTAAATTGGAATGTCACTGAATCACCATTTGATGAGTCCGTGTTGGTCTTTACAAGAAGAACTAAGGACTCAAAAAATGTGAATTCAAGCACTTGATTTTACCTAACAATAGTTACAAAGGAGGGCAGAGGTAGCAGTGGAACTAAATGTATTAATCCCAATCTTTCACTCTCTTAGTGAGTACTTTTACAATGTATTACACAATTTTTTTTTCATTATCATCAACTGAATCATATAATTTGGAGGAATTGCATGATTAACCCTTTGTACACGACATTGACAATGTCAATCATATTTGTCAATTATACACAATCTCTAATCTTAAATCCAGTTCCAACATATAATAGCACATAAAAGTCAAATCAGGATTTCCAATGAAACCATTCCACCATGACAAACAATTTTGACAGAACACCCCCAATTCAATATATTGGTCAGCTATTTACCAAATGCTAAGAACAATTAAATCCAATTCCACCAAAATCAGTCAATAATGAAAAAAGAGGTATCAAAATAAAACATAGTTAGCCAATCTATCAGCACAACATAGTTAGCCAAAAAATTAATCTCATACATCATAACTCAATTTCCAAAATAAAACAAAACAAATAAAAATCTGTTTTCTTTGTCTTCCATTTGACTTTGAAGTTGCACTAAAAATTGTTGTATTTTCCTCTGCATTGACTTTTGCCTACACAAACCAAACTAATAGATCTTAAAACTATATATAAATGGATCCAAAAGCTATTGAAAAATTAAGAAAACTAATAGAAGTTAAAATGGTATATAAGAAGATCATAACTCACTTATTGGTCTGGACACTTTGAACCACTCTTGCCAGCATCCCCATCCTTTCCTGAATTTAGGCTTCCCTATATATAGCAAAAATTCGAAAAAAAATAAAAGCGCATGGAGATGTGAATTAGATGGAAATTAACAAATGAATATCGTACCGGCTATTGTATGATTGGGAAAAACAATCTCAATTGCCTTTTGCATTGCCTTGTCTTGGTCCGTAATTATTGCATTTGGAGTATGACCAGACATGCAAGCAACCCAAGATTGAAATAATCAAGTAAACGTCTCTACATTTTCGCTTGATACCAATCCACATCATAATAAAGTCGATTGACCATGGTGATTGACCCCGACAAAAGAAGCAAATGACATGTCATACTTATTCGTTAAATATGTGGTGTCAAATGTAATGACATCACCAAACTCCTCATATGCTGCTCTACTCCTAGCATGTGCCCAAAATACATTTCTTAAATGACCCTCATCATCCAAATCCATCATGTAGAAAAAGTTTGAATTATCACCTTGCATTTTCAAGAAATAGTTGTGAATCGCAGCAGCATTTCCTTCCCCAAGTCACAACCGCCTTACTTTGTTAATAAAATTTCTACAATCTTTCTCAAAAAAGGGAACATTCTCATGCCCACCCGCTTCAACCACAATAGAATTAAAGTTCTTGTTAATCAGAATTCCAACTCTATCATTCATTTCAAGTTTTCTTTTGATGTATGGTCTTATTATCCTGTTGCATCGATAGAAATGAGATTTAACCGGATTCAACCCATGGTTATGTGTAAGCATGATGGAAGTCACTCACCACTTGCCATCGGGACATATAGTTGCTCTCCACTTAGCTTTACAGTCAGTTTTGGTGATTGGATGCATTTGTAAGGTATTTCTTGACGTAGACTTTGACTTTCCTTAGCGAGAACATGCAAATGTCACATATTTTAGCTCTCCATCATCTCCCTTTGACAATGTTCTCCTTTTTATGGGAAACCCTAGGCCATTACCATATCTTATGTAGTACTCCATTATTTCGTCAACTGTATTAAGCACCATTCCCAATTTTGGCTCTTCTAATTTTTCTTCTACATTGATTGCATTATCAACTTCCTTCTCACAAGTATTACCATCCATCTCTGTACTTGTATAGTTAGTTGAATTTCTTCTTCCATTCCTATCCAATAAAGAACAAAACATAGATAATAAAAAAACATAGAAATAGTAGATTGTCAATGCATTCTCAAGAATTCTGTAAGCTTCCTATATTAGCTCACAAAGCTTTAATCCTTAAATTAAGATTTTGGTTATCCGTCTTCCAACATTTTCCGCCCATCACAAAGTTCCAAAAACTACAATCTACATGATCATAAGCTTTCTCAAAATCAATTGATGTGTGTGGGTGTGGGTGTGTGCTGCTGTGGGGTGTGTGTGATTGTGTGCGTGCATGTTGTGCGTGTGTGTTTTTGCAAGGGCAGAGTTAGGATTCTATCTTAATGGGGGCAAAACCATAAACAAAAAATATAATCAGCTTGTATTAAAAAAATTTTTGCATCTCCATTAATAATGACTAAATTAGGTGCATATTTCACACAAAAAATTCCTTAGTTCACCTATGGAAGTATGTTAAGATCAAAGATTTAATTACAGAATGAAAATTAAAAATAAAAATTAATTTAATATGAACAAACAAAAATAATATTATTTTTATTGCACATTTCAACTCAGTCATATATTAAAGAGAAACACAACAATGCTATTTCAAATTCCAATAATCGTTTATAATTGATCAATTCTAAAAGATATTTCAAAATAATTTCTTTTAATCTTGTCGAGAAATTGATTTTTTTAAAAAGGCATAAACACTTTTAGTTTAACACATTTTATATTTGCTAGATATCTACTGATTGTGTTACTAGGTTTCGAGCTACTAATTTAAAAAAAAAAAAAGAATTAGGGACAGGGAGAAAGAGACATAAGTTTTTTGGCACATAAGTTTGTCAATGCTTAACCTATGAAATCTGGTCCAAGCTCCGGTGAGGGGCACTAGAATATGCATCTTGTTATCGGAATGCACCATCAAGTTTTTGGGTTTTTAATTTAATTATAACAAATTTGAGTGTTCTTTGATTTTGTTAAACCATTGGTATTGTAACAAAGTTCACACTATTTTGAAGATTTAATGATCCACACATTGCAGATTCTGATCACATTACTTATTTTTTGCGGTGTGGGTATGTGTGTGTGTGAGAGAGAGAGAGAGAGAGAGAGAAAGAGAGAGGTTACCTATGACTTTAACCCTTTTGGGAGACGTGACTGTTGGGTGGTTTTCTTCTTTGCCAGAGAAGAAAGAAAGGGGGGCAGATTCTAGAGGACGAAAGCGAGAGAGAGAGAGAGGGGAAGGTGGGTATTGACGGTGGAAGTGGGGAAATTGAAAATTTTTTAACCCAAATATTAATAAAATATTTATCTTTTTATTAAATGACATGACAGCTTATTTGGAATGCTGACTAAGCTGCCATGTCATTTGGTCCCTATTTTTGGTCAGCCTAGCATTACTCTAAATTTTATCATTCATTACGGAGACAGTTACTCCAGAAAAAACCTTATTATCCAAACAAGTGATAAAAGATACAATATCGAATTTTCAGTAGCTTGGTCAAACCTCCCATTACGATGCCAAAATATATTTCTTCGGTGTCATACTCTTATTTTGTATTTTCTAAGAATTTATCTCGTGNAACCTTTGACTTGTGAACCAAACTCTCTAATTTGTCTCAATTATTACAACAAAGCATCTGCTACCACAAGCAAAAAAATTGGACTTTATCCATATCGATTATTTCTGAATGTTACAAATGTTTATCAGGTAATTCTGTTTCTTGAAGGACTNATTTTTGCATCTCCATTAATAATGACTAAATTAGGTGCATATTTCACACAAAAAATTCCTTAGTTCACCTATGGGAAGTATGTTAAGATCCAAGATTTAATTACAAAATAAAAATTAAAAATAAAAATTAATTCAATATGAACAAACAAAAATAATAATATTTTTATTGCACATTTCAACTCAGTCATATATTAAAGAGAAACACAACAATGCTATTTCAAATTCCAATAATTGTTTATAATTGATCAATTCTAGAAGATATTTCAAAATAATTTCTTTTAATCTTGTCGAGAAATTGATTTTTTTTAAAAAGGCATAAACATTTTTAGTTTAACACATTTTATATTTGCTAGATATCTACTGATTGTGTTACTAGGTTTCGAGCTACTAATTTAAAAAAAAAAAAGAATTAGGGACAGGGAGAAAGAGACATAAGTTTTTTGGCACATAAGTTTGTCAATGCTTAACCTATGAAATCTGGTCCAAGCTCCGGTGAGGGGCACTAGAATATGCATCTTGTTATCGGAATGCACCATCAAGTTTTTGGGTTTTTAATTTAATTATAACAAATTTGAGTGTTCTTTGATTTTGTTAAACCATTGGTATTGTAACAAAGTTCACACTATTTTGAAGATTTAATGATCCACACATTGCAGATTCTGATCACATTACTTATTTTTTGCGGTGTGGGTATGTGTGTGAGAGAGAGAGAGAGAAAAAGAGAGAGGTTACCTATGACTTTAACCCTTTTGGGAGACGTGACTGTTGGGTGGTTTTCTTCTTTGGCAGAGAAGAAAGAAAGGGGGGCAGATTCTAGAGGACGAAAGCAAGAGAGAGAGAGAGAGAGAGGGGAAGGTGGGTATTGACGGTGGAAGTGGGGAAATTGAAAATTTTTTAATCCAAATATTAATAAAATATTTATCTTTTTATTAAATGACATGACAGCTTATTTGGAATGCTGACTAAGCGGCCATGTCATTTGGTCCCTATTTTTGGTCAGCCTAGCATTACTCTAAATTTTATCATTCATTACGGAGACAGTTACTCCAGAAAAAAACCTTATTATCCAAACAAGTGATAAAAGATACAATATCGAATTTTCAGTAGCTTGGTCAAACCTCCCATTACGATGCCAAAATATATTTCTTCGGTGTCATACTCTTATTTTGTATTTTCTAAGAATTTATCTCGTGTAAATTTTATTATGTTGTTAAAAAAACCTCTCATTATGATGCCAAAATATATTTCTCTGTTGAAGTTTACTATGGTGTTTGACTTAGTCATTTGGTTCTGTTAATAAGTCCTTGGTATTTGGGATTAGGTTTAAGAGTTTGACTCTTTCTTTACATGTATTACTCACATCAGTTAGCACTTAATGTAAGCAGTGAGCAATTTTCCCTTCCTAGTTGTAAGGTTATATATATAGCTACCTTCATTCAATAAACTCCAAGTTGTTGCTTCAAACACTTTTACTTATATTTAACATTTGGTATAAGAGCCACAACAGCAGCTTCCTGACTTGTTGTAGCAACAACAATGGCATCAGACGAAAATTATGTGTAGCCAGCAATCCCTCGTGTTGACGGCTATTATGATCACTGGTCCATGCTTATGGAAAACTTTTTGTGTTCCAAAGAATACTGGAGCGTGGTGGAGAAAGGTCTTCCTGAAGAAGTCACAGGGGCAGTCCACACCGTTGCAAAGACCGAGACACTTAAAGATCAAAAGCTGAAAGACCTGAAAGCCAAGAATAACCTCTTTCAAGCTATTGATAGCTCGATTTTGGAGATCATCTTGAAGAAACACACCTCAAAAGATATTTGGGACTCGTGTCAAATGAGCACAACTCCAAGCACTGAGAAAGGAGTTTGAGGTTCTCCACATGAAGGAAGGAGAATATGTGAATGAGTATTTAGCTCGAACTCTCACTGTAGTTAATCAAATGCGGATTCATGGAGAAAAAATGGAAGATGTTGTNGCTATCAATTGATGATTCAATTAGGGGTTTTGGGGTTCAGTTGGTTGATAATGAGGCTGTCTATCCTCTGATTTCTGGCAAATCTTAGACAGAGTTTTGTATCTGAAACTTTTGTACAATTGCTAAAGCCACTGTTCATATTGATGTCCACTTTGTAGTGATCTTGTCAAATCTTCTTTATTTTGATTCTTTGTTATTGGTGGTAATCATCAGTTGTGCTTGATTAATGAATGTTAAGGAGTCTTGAATTAGCCAACAGTTTTGCTTGATTATAATTGAAATTTCATAAATGAAAAGCCAAGTTTTTTTAAATTGGAATGTCACTGAATCACCATTTGATGAGTCCGTGTTGGTCTTTACAAGAAGAACTAAGGACTCAAAAAATGTGAATTCAAGCACTTGATTTTACCTAACAATAGTTACAAAGGAGGGCAGAGGTAGCAGTGGAACTAAATGTATTAATCCCAATCTTTCACTCTCTTAGTGAGTACTTTTACAATGTATTACACAATTTTTTTTTCATTATCATCAACTGAATCATATAATTTGGAGGAATTGCATGATTAACCCTTTGTACACGACATTGACAATGTCAATCATATTTGTCAATTATACACAATCTCTAATCTTAAATCCAGTTCCAACATATAATAGCACATAAAAGTCAAATCAGGATTTCCAATGAAACCATTCCACCATGACAAACAATTTTGACAGAACACCCCCAATTCAATATATTGGTCAGCTATTTACCAAATGCTAAGAACAATTAAATCCAATTCCACCAAAATCAGTCAATAATGAAAAAAGAGGTATCAAAATAAAACATAGTTAGCCAATCTATCAGCACAACATAGTTAGCCAAAAAATTAATCTCATACATCATAACTCAATTTCCAAAATAAAACAAAACAAATAAAAATCTGTTTTCTTTGTCTTCCATTTGACTTTGAAGTTGCACTAAAAATTGTTGTATTTTCCTCTGCATTGACTTTTGCCTACACAAACCAAACTAATAGATCTTAAAACTATATATAAATGGATCCAAAAGCTATTGAAAAATTAAGAAAACTAATAGAAGTTAAAATGGTATATAAGAAGATCATAACTCACTTATTGGTCTGGACACTTTGAACCACTCTTGCCAGCATCCCCATCCTTTCCTGAATTTAGGCTTCCCTATATATAGCAAAAATTCGAAAAAAAATAAAAGCGCATGGAGATGTGAATTAGATGGAAATTAACAAATGAATATCGTACCGGCTATTGTATGATTGGGAAAAACAATCTCAATTGCCTTTTGCATTGCCTTGTCTTGGTCCGTAATTATTGCATTTGGAGTATGACCAGACATGCAAGCAACCCAAGATTGAAATAATCAAGTAAACGTCTCTACATTTTCGCTTGATACCAATCCACATCATAATAAAGTCGATTGACCATGGTGATTGACCCCGACAAAAGAAGCAAATGACATGTCATACTTATTCGTTAAATATGTGGTGTCAAATGTAATGACATCACCAAACTCCTCATATGCTGCTCTACTCCTAGCATGTGCCCAAAATACATTTCTTAAATGACCCTCATCATCCAAATCCATCATGTAGAAAAAGTTTGAATTATCACCTTGCATTTTCAAGAAATAGTTGTGAATCGCAGCAGCATTTCCTTCCCCAAGTCACAACCGCCTTACTTTGTTAATAAAATTTCTACAATCTTTCTCAAAAAAGGGAACATTCTCATGCCCACCCGCTTCAACCACAATAGAATTAAAGTTCTTGTTAATCAGAATTCCAACTCTATCATTCATTTCAAGTTTTCTTTTGATGTATGGTCTTATTATCCTGTTGCATCGATAGAAATGAGATTTAACCGGATTCAACCCATGGTTATGTGTAAGCATGATGGAAGTCACTCACCACTTGCCATCGGGACATATAGTTGCTCTCCACTTAGCTTTACAGTCAGTTTTGGTGATTGGATGCATTTGTAAGGTATTTCTTGACGTAGACTTTGACTTTCCTTAGCGAGAACATGCAAATGTCACATATTTTAGCTCTCCATCATCTCCCTTTGACAATGTTCTCCTTTTTATGGGAAACCCTAGGCCATTACCATATCTTATGTAGTACTCCATTATTTCGTCAACTGTATTAAGCACCATTCCCAATTTTGGCTCTTCTAATTTTTCTTCTACATTGATTGCATTATCAACTTCCTTCTCACAAGTATTACCATCCATCTCTGTACTTGTATAGTTAGTTGAATTTCTTCTTCCATTCCTATCCAATAAAGAACAAAACATAGATAATAAAAAAACATAGAAATAGTAGATTGTCAATGCATTCTCAAGAATTCTGTAAGCTTCCTATATTAGCTCACAAAGCTTTAATCCCTAAATTAAGATTTTGGTTATCCGTCTTCCAACATTTTCCGCCCATCACAAAGTTCCAAAAACTACAATCTACATGATCATAAGCTTTCTCAAAATCAATTGATGTGTGTGGGTGTGGGTGTGTGCTGCTGTGGGGTGTGTGTGATTGTGTGCGTGCATGTTGTGCGTGTGTGTTTTTGCAAGGGCAGAGTTAGGATTCTATCTTAATGGGGGCAAAACCATAAACAAAAAATATAATCAGCTTGTATTAAAAAAATTTTTGCATCTCCATTAATAATGACTAATTTAGGTGCATATTTCACACAAAAAATTCCTTAGTTCACCTATGGAAGTATGTTAAGATCAAAGATTTAATTACAGAATGAAAATTAAAAATAAAAATTAATTTAATATGAACAAACAAAAATAATAATATTTTTATTGCACATTTCAACTCAGTCATATATTAAAGAGAAACACAACAATGCTATTTCAAATTCCAATGATTGTTTATAATTGATCAATTCTAGAAGATATTTCAAAATAATTTCTTTTAATCTTGTCGAGAAATTGATTTTTTTTAAAAAGGCATAAACATTTTTAGTTTAACACATTTTATATTTGCTAGATATCTACTGATTGTGTTACTAGGTTTCGAGCTACTAATTTAAAAAAAAAAAAGAATTAGGGACAGGGAGAAAGAGACATAAGTTTTTTGGCACATAAGTTTGTCAATGCTTAACCTATGAAATCTGGTCCAAGCTCCNTATTTGCTAGATATCTACTGATTGTGTTACTAGGTTTCGAGCTACTAATTTAAAAAAAAAAAAAGAATTAGGGACAGGGAGAAAGAGACATAAGTTTTTTGGCACATAAGTTTGTCAATGCTTAACCTATGAAATCTGGTCCAAGCTCCGGTGAGGGGCACTAGAATATGCATCTTGTTATCGGAATGCACCATCAAGTTTTTGGGTTTTTAATTTAATTATAACAAATTTGAGTGTTCTTTGATTTTGTTAAACCATTGGTATTGTAACAAAGTTCACACTATTTTGAAGATTTAATGATCCACACATTGCAGATTCTGATCACATTACTTATTTTTTGCGGTGTGGGTATGTGTGTGAGAGAGAGAGAGAGAAAAAGAGAGAGGTTACCTATGACTTTAACCCTTTTGGGAGACGTGACTGTTGGGTGGTTTTCTTCTTTGGCAGAGAAGAAAGAAAGGGGGGCAGATTCTAGAGGACGAAAGCAAGAGAGAGAGAGAGAGAGAGGGGAAGGTGGGTATTGACGGTGGAAGTGGGGAAATTGAAAATTTTTTAATCCAAATATTAATAAAATATTTATCTTTTTATTAAATGACATGACAGCTTATTTGGAATGCTGACTAAGCGGCCATGTCATTTGGTCCCTATTTTTGGTCAGCCTAGCATTACTCTAAATTTTATCATTCATTACGGAGACAGTTACTCCAGAAAAAAACCTTATTATCCAAACAAGTGATAAAAGATACAACATCGAATTTTCAGTAGCTTGGTCAAACCTCCCATTACGATGCCAAAATATATTTCTTCGGTGTCATACTCTTATTTTGTATTTTCTAAGAATTTATCTCGTGTAAATTTTATTATGTTGTTAAAAAAACCTCTCATTATGATGCCAAAATATATTTCTCTGTTGAAGTTTACTATGGTGTTTGACTTAGTCATTTGGTTCTGTTAATAAGTCCTTGGTATTTGGGATTAGGTTTAAGAGTTTGACTCTTTCTTTACATGTATTACTCACATCAGTTAGCACTTAATGTAAGCAGTGAGCAATTTTCCCTTCCTAGTTGTAAGGTTATATATATAGCTACCTTCATTCAATAAACTCCAAGTTGTTGCTTCAAACACTTTTACTTATATTTAACATTTGGTATAAGAGCCACAACAGCAGCTTCCTGACTTGTTGTAGCAACAACAATGGCATCAGACGAAAATTATGTGTAGCCAGCAATCCCTCGTGTTGACGGCTATTATGATCACTGGTCCATGCTTATGGAAAACTTTTTGTGTTCCAAAGAATACTGGAGCCTGGTGGAGAAAGGTCTTCCTGAAGAAGTCACAGGGGCAGTCCACACCGTTGCAAAGACCGAGACACTTAAAGATCAAAAGCTGAAAGACCCGAAAGCCAAGAATAACCTCTTTCAAGCTATTGATAGCTCGATTTTGGAGATCATCTTGAAGAAAGACACCTCAAAAGATATTTGGGACTCGTGTCAAATGAGCACAACTCCAAGCACTAAGAAAGGAGTTTGAGATTCTCCACATGAAGGAAGGATAATGTGTGAATGAGTATTTAGCTCGAACTCTCACTATAGTTAATCAAATGCGGATTCATGGAGAAAAAATGGAAGATGTTGTTGTGCTTGAAAAGATACTATGATCTATGACTTCCAAATTTGACTATGTTGTTTGCTCCATTGAGGAGTCTAATGACTTAGACAACATGACAACTGATGAGCTTAGTCTTTTGGTTTATGAACAAAAGATGAACAGTCATGTTGTAGAGGAGCATGTTTTGCAGGTGGAGTACGCTGACAACACAGGAGGAAGAGGTCGTGGACGTGGTGCATGTCGAGGCAGGGGCAGAGGTCGTGGAAGATCAGCTTTCAATAAATCCGTTGTTAAATGCTATCATTGCCATGATCTAGGGCATTTTCAGTATGAGTGTCCAAAGAGAGGCAAGGAGTCAAGGGCACACTTTGTAGAAACAAGTAAAGAAATGCTTTTTATGTCATATATTGACGTACAAAAAGATCCCAGTGAAGAAGCTTGGTTTCTAGATTCAGGATGTAGTAACCACATTTGTGGTAAGAAGGAATTTTTCAAAACTCTAAATGAAGACTTTCGAGAGTCGATAAAGCTTGGGAACAATACTTATCTCAATGTCATGGGAAAAGGAAGTATTCGAATGCAAATCGGAGATGTTACACAAGTTATTACTGAGGCATATTATGTTCCCCAGCTGAAGAACAACTTATTGAGCATTGGGCAATTGCATGAAAAGGGCCTAGTCATTCTTCTTCAAAACAACATCTGCAAGATCTATCATCCACAAAGAGGCCTCATTATGCAAACCAATATGTCTTAGAATTGTATGTTCGTCTTTCTCTCAAAAATTCAGTCTCCATAGTGTTTTCTCTATCACCGACAACTTGGAATATCTTTGGCATTGTCGGTATAGTCATCTCAGTTTTGTGGGACTCAAGACACTCTATGGGAAACAGATGGTGACAAGTCTGCCTCAGCTTAAAGATCCTAAAGTGGTTTGCGAAGATTGTGTTATGGGAAAACATTCAAGAGATCCTTTTCCAAGGCAAATCAAATGGCGAGCTACGGAGATCCTTCAACTTATTTATGCTGACATTTGTGGACCGATTTCTCCTATATCCAATGGCACCAAGAGGTACATCTTGACTTTCATTGATGACTTTAGTCGTAAAGTCTGGGTGTATTTTATGGTGGAGAAATCCGAGGCCTTTGCTGCATTCAAGCTATTCAAAAGTCTAGTTGAAAAGGAGAAAAATACTTACATCAGAGGTCTAAGAACAGATCGTGGAGGAGAGTTTTTATCAAATGAGTTTGTTACCTTATGTTCCTCTAATGGCATACGAAGACAACTCACCAATGCTTACACTCCCCAGTAAAATGGCATGGCGGAGCGGAAGAACCGTACAATCCTGAACATGGTACGTTGTATGCTCTGGGGAAAACAAGTTCCCAGGACTTTCTGGCCAGA